CCCCTGCCTCTGTTGCTTCCACCTGTCTCTTCTCCCCTCCCCCTCCCCCATTGTCTTTCCTCCTCATACTTTGGCACCAAGGGTCATCTGGGCTCACAGTGCAGTGCTTAGCTAATCTCCTCTGCCTAGCAAAGGATGCATCAAGGAAGGGTGACTTCTAACTGGACGAGGGGGCAGTGGACCACCCACCCTATGGCATGCATCATGCCTGGGTGACAGGTGTTTGTTCCAGTGTGACTAGGCCACACATACACACACACACACACACACAACAATTAGGTCACAGGGGATTTATTTTTCCGGACACATCAACCTGCTGGTGTTAATTTAGATGCAAATGAAATTGCCAGAACAGCAATGATGACAGGAAGGTCAGGCTACCCATGTGCTGGGCTCTGCTCCCACGCCACACGTCTAACTAATGTGCTTCCACGTGTTTGGCCATGGCACTGAGCTTGGTGCTAGACTGTATTTGGGGGAGTTTTGACTTCAGGGAAGTGCAGGAGAGCATATGGTCTCCATACCCATTGGTTTGGGGGTGGGGGCCACTCCCAGAGATACCTGGTCTGGTTGCGTAGGTAATTGCTTGGGTCCAGCTATGTGGAACTGCTCGGGTGCCACTGGGTGCCATTGCAGTGATAACTGATGGCATTAGGGAGTGAATCTGGGGCATCGTGCGTGCAAGTTCTGTACTCTGGCCCTGGGAGCTGTGTCCTGGGATCCTCCACCCCTCACCTTTTTGAGGGGTCTCTTAAGTGGTGTTTCAGGGACCCTATGATGATATGTGGCCAGTCGAACCTGTGATGGCAGGGATAACCAGGTCACCCTCTAGGGCTGCACTCAGCCATGCTCAGGGTACGATGGGATGCCAGAGATGGAGACTGTGTTTGCCACAGGCAAGGAATTCCCCTTAACAAAACTCCGAGTTGTCTCTCTAGCCCCTAGCTGGCCTATTCCAATGGCTCAGCTAACCCAGACTGGATGGCAGGTTAACCAGGGATCTGAGCCTGGGCTGCAGTCTAGACCTCAGCAGGCCAGCTGACCACCGAGTGCCTGGGCTGGTGGACTGTTAGGGCTCATGCTGTATCTGCCTGACTACCTCACACAGTCATTTCCTTGTAGGAACTGAGTTTTCCCTTGATTACTGTGCTTATTTTCATCTACCTATAGTAAGAAATACTTTTACCTTAATTATTGTGTTTTATAAGGCAGGCAGGAAGAACACAATCACCATTTTCCTAAGGGTTGCAGGTATCTGCAGTTCTTTTCAGAACAGGTAAATAAAGACGACAGTCATCTCCAACATCCATGAGCAACTGATGGGAGCAACTCCTTACCTGGGCCATGATGGGAGGCGCCTCTCCTGCCCCATGGGCCTTAGTAGAAGAAGCATCAGTGGGACATTCTGCCCAGCACAGCTGCCTTCTCCCGCTGATTCATCTCAGCTTCCAAGTGATCATGCTTAGGCCCCAGCCTCATCCTCATTAAGGAGGCTGCCTGTTTGGGGGGATTAGAGGAACGCTCTGAAAGTAAGATAATGGGGCAGGAAAAGATTTTCTGGGATAAAAGGATTCCAAGGGTTGTGAGAATATGGCGGAGGCAAGAGAGGGGGAAGAGAAGGGAAGCAGCCTGCCCTGGTTTGGGTATTAGCTTAGCGTGAGTGTGACCCCGGCTGACAGAGTTCGCAACTCAAAGCGTAATAGAATCAGGGTTTTAAAATTTATAGCACGTTATGTAAACGCCACCCCTCCGAGTACTTTTTTAAATCCTCTCAGCTTATAAATGACAGCTTTGATTTCTTAAAAAAAAAATCTTCTCATTTATCCCTCCTGAGCGTAGTAAATATTAGGTGTTTGATGTCTCCTTTCATGCTGGCCCCCGGAGATGGAGCCTTAGAGTCTAACGGCTGAGCTTTTGAGCGTGCAAAGTTCTAGAGTAGTTTACAGGGGTGCAGCAGGCTGGGGGAAGCAGATGTCGCAGGGGCAGCTTCCAGAATGTGGCAGGATGAGCCGTGCCATGTAGGTGGACGGGGGACACTGCCTGCAGAAAGCCCATGCAGGCGGCTTGCTCTTCACACGTACCTGACTTGCTTGCCTCTATGACTCTTTGCTCTTTCCACCCTTGAGAGACGCCAGTATCCTCTCTGGAGAGTGAGCTCCCTCTCTTTCTCTCCCCTCATATCTTTCTAAGTTTCAATGGAACATGATCTTGCATTACCATTTCACCTGCTCTGGAATTCTTTTTTTTTTCTTACCCCTTTTTGGGTCACACCCGGCAATGCACAGGGGTTACTCCTGGCTTTGCATTCAGGAATTACTCCTGGTGGTGCTTGAGGGGACCATATCGGATGCTGGGAATCGGATCCAGGTCGGCCATGTGCAAGGCAAATGCCCTACCCGCTATGCTACTGCTCCAGCCTCCTCCTCTGGGAATTCTTGACTGAAAGAAAGGTAGAGTGCCTACACTGAGGTTAGGATGGACATTGCCAATCCTGATCTCAGCCAAACATCCCTCCTGGTGGCCGAGCAGGTCAAGCAGAGAGGGGGAAGCACTCTTTCCTGGAGTCAGCCTCCCTCCATGCCTTACTTGACCAAGCCACCAGCAGCAGAACCAATAAATATATTAAACACACTGGTAGAATAAACAAAATTCGCCAGAAAAGTCAGTTGTATTTCTGTGTAGTAACGAAAATCCTAAAATTAAGATGAAAATGGAAAGAAAGGACATGCCAGCTTCCTTGGGAGAGAGTCACTGTACTTCCATTGGTTGGGAGTCAGGACTTCAGGAAAGGGACCTTGACTCGCCCCCACATGGTGGTTGGTGTCTGTGCTCACAAAACCTGCCTGTGCAGCAGCAACATGGGACTGCATGAAGGGAACTATATACATGGTTTTCTGGCCATTCATTTCCCCTGAGCTCCAGTCATTAGACATCAGTTATGTTTCAGGTATTTAGAAAAACTGCCTTCGCTCAGGGGTCTTCAGAAGAGGGACGGAGAAAGTTTAAAACTCTTCCAAAAGTTTCATTTCAAACTGGAGCCAGAAAAATTGTATAGGGGATAATGCATTTATTTGTCTTGCATGTGGCAGACCCCAATTTGAATCCCCGATACCACACATGGCCCCCTGAGCACAGAGCCAGGGATTAGTCCTAAGCACTACTGGGTGTGACCCCCAAATTAAAAAAAAAAAAGCTTTAAAGCTCTGATATGGCCATTGTAAATCACGAGATCCTTGGGAACTGCCATTTTTTTCAGAAAATATTCACTGGTGGTTTGTGGACCTGACTCTGTCCACTGTACTGGGGTTGCAGTGTGTGTTGCTCAGCGCAGAGCCTGACCTGGAAAGCAGAGAATGCCAGCGTGCAAGGTGGGAAGCTGGTTCAGGCACAGGGAAGCAGCAGGAGCTGCTCAGGGCAATCCAGGGGCCAACGGGTCATTGCTTACCTATTGCACGGCTGTGTTTGGGCTCCTGGCCTCTTTAAAGGGGACATGGTGGGATGTTCAAGGTTGAGGGTTTGGAGCTGGAGGGACTGGATGTTGCCTTTTGCCGCTACATTCAGACCTCTTGGGCCCCCCCCCTGAGTGCCCTGTCACTACATTCCAAGAGTGGGTTTGAGAGTCCTGGGGAAGCACATCTCACTCAGCATCAAGAAAACAGACCAAAGTGATCTGGCAATATCATATCCACCTGGCCCCTCTCTAGAACAGGGCTAAGCACCAAGGCACGTGGCCGTGATTTAAGCCCTTCATGCACAGACGCAGCCAGCAGGGCCCAGCAACACAGAGCAGATTTGCAGAGGTTGGTTCTTAAACTTAGGAGCGGATTTTGAAACCAGAAAATTCTCAGAAGAGGAAAGTCTCAGAAAATACAGGACTCAGTACAGTATGATAAAGTGACAGTTAACACTTCTAAAAGGAGAAGGAAAGAAGATGGAAAGCTGGGGAGAGGGAGACGCAGCCACTCAGTGTCGCCATCTGTTTCCTTCAGCGTCAAGCTTTGTTGGGCTCAGTGCAGGAGAAACATCTCTGATTCTAGGGCCGAGGGTTGGAATCCGGACCTCGGAATTGCTTCCTTAGAAGTTTATGTGAATTCAGTTTGAGTAGTTCTGTTCTCCCCACTGTAAATCCTGTGCACCTAGAGATTTTTTATTCTACTTTTATGAAGACACAGACTTATTATTTGCACTCTTAAAATATTCCCAATTAAAATGCTTAACATTAACATTTCGATGCTCTAAGTATCAAATCATCCGTTCTTTAAGAGACTCAACCATTGAAGAGATTATAGTTCTCTGAAAGAAGGGCCATTTTCTGCATGGGAAAAGAAATCATACCACGTAAAAAATATTAATTTATATTATAAAAATGTCACAGTTATTTAAATAAGCAGTAAACTGTTACAGCACTGTAAAAGTACATTAACATTCTTTAGTTCCAGAAATTTGACTTACAACTTCCCGGAAGCCCGTCTAAACATCTGTAGCAGTCTGCCCCTCTCATTTGCTGGTTATTACGTTGTTATTTTGTTAGATCATGTTATTTTGTTAGATCATGTATCGAACAGAAAACAGGTTCTGTGCTTCTAGCTCATTGCACACAGCAGGTCCCAATAAATATTAGTGCAATGACTTAACAGGGAAACAACTTACAGTGAGCTTTCTAATTAGTCCTTTACTGACCATGTAAATACTTTTATTATCTCCCCCGCCCCCATTTCTGATGAGACACTAAAATCTTTATGACTTTCAGTGATTAGAGGTGCAGGATACTTGAACTGCCTTTTTTTTTTTGGCCTCTGTTTCCCCTTTGCTGAATTAGAGGGCAGAAGTGACCTGAGGGAATGTGGAAGGTTAAGGGCTTCAGTCCATGCTCTGAAGAGGTCCAGGGGGCAGGTGTGTTCTTGCCTTGATGGAGTCACAGGGGGATGCCCCAGTCAAAGCCCCAAGGGGCACTCACCTATGCTCGCACTCACCTGTGCTCGCTCTCTTGTTCGCCCCAGGTGACCGTGGAGGAGGTCATGACCACCACAGCGTACCTGGACCTTTTCCTGCGCAGCATCTCCGAGCCAGCACTCCTGCAGATCTTCCTGCGCTTTATCCTGCTGCACCAGCACGAGAATGTCCACATCCTGGACACGCTCACCAGCAGAATTAACACCCCCTTCCGGGTAAGAGGGCTGGGGCCAAGGAGAGGCATGTATCTACCTGAGAGCTTGAGTGGGGAATAAAAGTTGAAAGTTCTCCTTTTTCCTTCCTTTTATTTTATTTTTCTTTTGTTTTTCTTGCAGCTGTTACTTTTGGATGAGATGAGCTAGTTGCATTTTGCTGTCAGGAGCCTCTTTGTTAGCGAGCAGCTCTTACTGCCTTTCACTGGCTCTTTTTCTTAGTAACTCTGTGTTGGCGTTTCCTTTGCAATGAGCAGAATCTGAGGCAGCATTAGGGATGCCTATGGGCTTACGTGCAGGAAGATCCAGGGACCCAGATTGTGTATCACATCTGGGCTCAGAGTTCATCTTTCAGTCCACAAATATTTTGAAGTGGAAGTCTGCGTGGTTGTGAATTTAGGAAGTTATCCTTGGTTTAGAGCTCTGATTAATTTGAAAACCCCTTTTATAGGATTAGTGTCCTCTGTTGCAATCTTCTTCTCAAAGACTGTTTTTATTTAGATGCAGTATTAATTGGAAACAGAAGTAATAGTAACTTAACAATGTATTATCATTGACTTTGTAACATGGTGTTGTAGTATATATAACAAGAAAGGCATTAAGGGGGAAGAAGGAGAGCTATGTCAGAGTATTTCTATTTCACTTATAAATATGAAAAGTTAAGATGTATAAATATTAAGGCTCAAGACATCACTAATGAAATAATTTATGAAATATGATGAAAAAATCATTAGAAGAATTAAAATGTTATACAAATTCAGAAGGCAGTAAAAAGGGGATCAATAAAGTATGAAAAATTGAAAACAAAAAGTAAAGTAGCAGAATAAATCCAACAATCATGTTAATAATATTGAACGTTTAGGGTGAATATAGCTAAAATCATATAGATTTTTTATATGATTTCAAAAATCCAATATGCAAAGAAATAAAGGTAAGGTAAAGGTAAAGGCCCTCCCGTTGATCATCGATTTGCTCGAGCGGGCCCAGTAATGTCTCCATTGGAGACTTTGTTGTTACTGTGTTTGGCATATCGAATACGTCACGGGGAGCTTGCCAGGCTCTGCCGTGCGGGCGAGATACTCTCGGTAGCTTGCCGGGCTCTCCGAGAGGGGGGGAGGAATCAAACTTGGGTCGGACATGTTGGCTGCGTGCAAGGCAAACGCCCTACCCGCTGTGCTATCGCTCCAGCCCATGCAAAGAAATAAAAAATTCAATATGCGAAGATTGTTAGACTGGAGAGAAAAGAAGATACAACACTGGTGTCTATGGGAGAAATTTTAGGTTTGAAGATACAGACAGGATGAAAGTTAAAGTACAGGGAAAAGGCCTTATGCTAAGAATAACCAAAATATAAAGCTGGAGCAGCTATAACAATAATCAAGGTGGCTTTATATAATGGTTCTGAGTTGACACTGAGCAGTGCTCAGGGCTTACTCCTGGCTCTGCACTCAGGGATCACTCCTGGAAGGGCTTGGGGGGCCATGTGGAGTGCCGGGGTCAACTGTGTGCAAGGCACGTGTCTTTACCTGCTGTACTCTCTCTTGTCCCAACAAAGTTTATTTTAAATAAGAAATGTTACTGTAGAAGAAGAGGATTATTTAAAGTGATGGCAAGTCAACCCCCCCCCCCCCCCCCGCGAAAGATCTCACAATTATAAATTAAGATCCTTCTGCAACCAGAAGCAAATGCTGTTGGACATGAAGGGGAAAACAGAAAATGCAACAGAGTATTTCAGTGATAACAGAGTGACTAGGCAGAGCATCACAAGAAAATAGACTTGTATCATACCATAGACAAAGTAGACCTAGCTGACATTTATAGATCACCACAACCGCAGCACATTCTCCTCCAGTGTTTAGGGAACATTCCCTAAGGTGATGAGCTTCAAATATTGAAGGATGTGGAGAGATTGCTGTCAAAAGGCTGGAGTGTGTGTCTCCCAAGGGATAGGCTCTAGGTTAGAGTTTGGTCCCCGGCACTATTTAGGCCCTCAGCACGGCATCACCAGGCTTGTTGTGGGACTCGATCTGATCTAATCTGGGAGAAGCCAGATGGCACTCGGATTTATAAGGAACAGGAGAATTTTATTTTATGTTAGTGGGCTCTGAAGGAGCAGTCTCCCTAAAAGTCTGAGCCCGGAACACATATAACCTAGGGAATTATATACCTTTACTGATCATGAGAGGGCTGGAACGATAGCACAGCAGATAGGGCATTTGCCTTGCATGAGGCTGACCTGGTCGACCGAGGTTCGACTCCTCCGCCCCTCTCGGAGAGCATGCCAAGCTACCAAGAGTATCTCGCCCGCACGGCAAAGCCTGGAAAGCTGCCCATGACGTATTCGATATGCCAAACACAGTAACAAGTGTCACAATGGAGACGTTACTGGGCCTGCTCGAGCAAATCAATGAACAACGGGAGGACAGTGATAGTGACAGTGACTGATTCTGAGTAAGTGGTTAAGTAAAGTTTTTGTGCAAGTGCAAGGATTCAGAAACAAAAGACTGGGCAGGTTGGTGAAACCTAAGGACTCAAGGGGGAGGAAAGGTCTGGGGTTGGGCTTCTGCTATGGATTCTTGGTGCATCTACAAAGCAGTAAGTAGGATTCGAGAATGAGTAGTTAGTAAGAGGTTAATGGAAGAAAGCAGAATCAGTGAAGCATTAGAAACTGAGAGGAACTGGGAGTGCTGTAAACTGGGAGTACTATAAATTGGGAGTGCTGTAAACTGGAAGAGGAGCTACATAAGCCACTTCTGCATCCAGCAGTCCGTCCATCAGGTCCACAGAGCTAGGCCAAATATTTTCTGAGTGGCGTCCCATGCACCCCGAACACTCCTTGGAGGCTTCCCCTCAAAACAAAACAAAACAACAATTGAAATCATACAGGTGGTATTATGGGGTTTTGTTTGTTTGGTTTTGGGGACTAACAGTGCTCAGAGCTAACTCCTGGCTCTGCACTTGGAAGTTACTCCTGACAGGGTGCTGGGGACTCTATGGGATGCCAGGGATTGAAACTGGGTCAGCCACATGCAAGGAAAGCACCCTACCCACTGAACTAGCTCTAGCCTCCTGACCTAAGTAGCATAGCATATTTGACAGAGATAAAATTCATGAGACAGAAATAAATAGCACAGTAATCAGTGGATCACAAGGGAAACAAAATAATACTTTGAGAGAAATGGGAGTTAAGATACAGTATACCAAGATTTATGAAATGCAGTGATAGCACTTATTAAAGGAAAATAGATTACTATGAATGCCTACCAAAAAAAACCAAAAGAATCTGAAAACTATAACCTAAACTTTCCCCTTCAAGACCCTGATAAAAGGAAAGAAACTCAAAACAAGAAGGAGGGGGGAAGGAAATGACAGGGGTAGAAATAGACATGAACAAAATAGAGAATAGAAAAGCAACAGAGAAAATGAACAAAAATAAAACTTGCTCTTGGAAAAAATTAACAAAATTCAAAACCCTTTAGCACTGTCGCTATTTCCTAGGGTGGGTGATGACCATCCCCAGGGGTCTCAGAACCACTGGGGAGGGGGGAGCAGTAGTCTTGGGTACAAATGGGAGAACTTTCTGTTTCTCCAGTTACAGAAGAGGGAATTCTAAGAGGGATACTGTCTTTTTTTTTTTTTTTCTGAAAAGTGGGTGGTAGTCCAAATAAGTTTAGAAACCTCTGAGGTAGTTTAATGAAGAAAAAGAGAGGGCTGAAATTACTGAAATATGAATTGAAAGTAGATAGATATTTTTTAATTACTGTTGGCCTTACAGAAATGAAAATACTACAGAAATAAAAAATATTACAAAGGAATGTAATATATTTTTTTAAAAAATGAAAAAATTGGCCTTACAGGAATGAAAAAATTTTTAGTTAAAATATCATTTTTTCCTAAAAAGAAAATATTACTATTGACCTTACAGGAAAAGAATGAGCAAATATTATGAAAAATTATATGCCGTGTTATTTTTATTAAAATATTTTTTATTTTACAAAATATTACTGTTGACCTTACAGAAATAAAAGGATTGTGAGGGAATACTATGAAAAATTAGATGCCAAACTGTTGGAAAGCTTAGGTGAAATGGATAAATTCTACAAAGACACCCACTTCTGACACTGATTCAGGAAATAGAAAAACCCAATAATAGGAAATTTCAAGAGGCAAAAGAAACAGCTGAAAACCTTTGTGCTTCGGAGAGAGAACCATTAAGTGAAATAGGAGGGAAATTTTGCCAATTACACTTGATAAGTTACTCATACACAAAATAAAGAACTAACGTAACTTGATAATAAAAAGGCAGACTCATTGCCATGAATGTGCAATAGGGGCTTTGCTCAGACTCAGGAAGGAATGGGAGTAAGCCTGAGATGAGGAAGAAAGGAAGAGGGAGGGAGGGAGGGCAGAAGGAAGAAGGAGGGAAGGGAGAGAGGGAGGGAGGGAGGAGGGAGGGAGGGAGATTTCCAAGCTGCAGATTAGCATGTCCAAGTTTAGATGGGTGGAACGAAGACTGTCACTTCTGGATAACCAAGCAGATGACCTGTGTGAGCGTAGGGGTGCTAGGAACAGGCCCATGGTGGCAGTTTCTGACAACTCATCGTGGATTATATTGACTAGAATTAAAGCCCATTCTTTGGCATTCATTGTCTTGTGCAAAGAATGTGACTTAAATAGCCAGAGAGATAGTACAGCAAGTAGGGCAATTGCCTTGCATGCAACTGACCTAGGTTTGATCCCTGGCACCCCATATGGTTCCCCAAACCTGCCAGGAGTGATCCGTCGGCATAGAGTCAGGACTAAATCCTGAGCTTAGTCACGAATAAGCCCTGAGCACAGCCAGGTGAGGACTGAAAACAAAAAAACAAAAAGAATGATGAAAGCTTACCTCCCAAAAAGCCATGATAGTTTTATAATGTACTTCAGGGAGTCTTCTCTATTTGACTCTTTCTCTTTCCTTTGTAATTCCCTTGTAAATCAGGGATGGAAAGGATTCAGGCATTTTAAAATAAACTTTGTAGAAAACTTGCTAAACTTTTACCTTTGACATTAGAGGAAATGGAGCCTAGATTATTTACCCCAAAGTCCACTTTTGCCCAAGCTTGAGAAGGAGAACTTTAGTGAGGAGATTTGGCTAGGACATAGGAGGATATTTCTGTTTGCTGTTCTAGCTGGTAACCAAGGAGATATTTCAAAATAATAGGAAAATAGAAGACTGTGTGTGTATGCACATGTGTGTGCATGTGTATGTATGTATAGGCATATTATTGGGGGCCTGTTTATTTGACTCTAAATATTGGCAATAGGCACATAGAGGAAACTAATTCTGTATAATGGCATAGTTCCAGGCCTGGGCTTTTGAATCAAATTCTACAGGGGAACTCATAGCCCGAATCCATGTTCTTTTTGGCAGCAGCATGTTCTTATCAGAACTGCTTTAAAGAAGAAAGGCCTTTTTATTTTGTAATTCTGACTTATTTACCATCTGTAGGGAGTCGAGCTCTCCTTCCAGTGTCTGAACTCACATGTGTGTTTATTGCCTCCCCCAGCTCTGCGTGGTGTCCCTGGCATTATTTAGAACACTCATTGGTTTACACTGTGAAGATGTGATGTTACAGCTGGTTCTAAGGTGAGTTGTCACCTTTTGTTCCCTTTAAAGAAGAACTCATTCTCTGCTGTTGCTATTGTATTTCTCTCTAGTGATGTCAGCTAAGTCAGGGGCTATGCTTTCAAGGAAGAAAATCATCAAGAAAGCTTATTTAATTTCCGCATGATGTCCCCAGTTTAACCTTAATTTTACTATTAAATTTAGCTTGGGGAGCCAAAGGCATTCTATGATAAGGCTGTTCCTGGAAACAATGGATGGAATGTTTAGAACATTGCAGAAGTACTCTGAGAGCTCTTCCAGTCTGTGCTGGAATGATGTTTCTCCTGAAGGGCCTAAAATGGAAAACAACCCTTCCAGATACAAACTGTCTCTGTCATTGGATTGCCCAGGCTCTTGACTTTGGTCGTGCTTCCCTACAGGGAGGGCAGAAACTCAGGACGGGACTAGAGTAAACCCCTTTTCAGAATAGTTTAGCAAGGAGTTGGTTCTTGAAAGGGACTCAGATGCAGGGGAGCAGAGGTGTGTCTTGGAGAGGCATCGGGCACTGGGTGAAGGACACAAGAAGTGTCTGTAGCTGGGAGCCAGGGGCTGATGGATGGTGTTAATCTGGCTGTTTGTGAAGGGGGCTCAGGAGCACCAAATCCCACCTGGGCTCAGCATGCGTTTTCTTGGGGACAGCTTCTGCTTCCTCACCTCTGCTGCTCTGCTCTCCCCTTCCCTTCTCTAGCAGAAGGAAAAGGGAACAGGTGACGGAGGACAGCATCTGGCTTCATCCCTGGCTCCCCACTGTGAACTTGGGCTCTGACCTGTCCTTGGGAGTAAGATTGGAGGAAGCCAGGAGCTGCGGAGGAGGCGGGAGTCTGGGGCTGTCTCTGGTGTGTGGGTTTTTGTTTTTATTTTTGAGGGGGGCAGGGGGATGGGGGCTTACCCAAGGATGCTGGTGGTCTCCCCTGGCTCTGTGCTTGGGGGTGATTCATGGCATCGCCTGGAACTGAACCCAGGCCAGACATGTGCAAAGCACGTGCCGTAATCTGTGTCTTATTTCTGTGGCCTGCATTGGGGTTTTGACAGGATGTGAGTTCGACTTTTGGGATGATGGGGGCAAAACGGGCTTGGGTATAGCAGCCCACCAGGAACTGCTTGGGAGTCGTATCCCTGGACTTCCCCCAGATATGTGGACACCTTCTCTGGGTAACTCATCCCCAGCCTTGCCCTTTGGCTCCTGACTCCCTTTGCTTTGTGGTGTCTCAGGATTCAGCCATACTGTGGCTTGAGTCTCCAGTTCCCTTCCTGTTTTAAGGTTGAAGAATTAACCACTGCCCTTTGGTTTATCCATTTGGGGCTGAGCCCACTTTTGGGCTGCAGCAGAGCCTACTGCTTGGACGCTATTTAGGTTTTTGATCACGTCTTCAAGATCCTGCTTTCAGTTCTTTGGGTGTATATCCAGAAGTGCAGTGACTGGATCCTGTAATAATTCTTTTCTTTTTCAAGTTGTTTACCATGCATTTAAAATGCCTACCAGTAGTGGACCACAGTTCCCATTTCTCATCATTGCCAATACTTGTAATTTCTGTTAGTCAAAGTAGGTGTTCTCATAACCAACTAAAAAAGACTGGCAGAAGGGACAATGATGGAGGGATGGGTGTTAGAACACTGTATGACTGAAACCTAATCATAAACAGCTTGTAAGGTTCTATCTCATAGTGATTCAATTGAAAAAAATCTACAAAAATATTTTTTGTACCACAAATATATATATATATATTTATGCACATATATATATATGATTAGCAGAGGTGCTGGAGAGATAGCACATCAGGTAGGCCATTTGCCTCACAGATGTCTGAAACAGGTTCAACCCCTGGCACCCTGAGTGGTTCCCCGAGCACCACCAGGAATAACCCCTGAGCATTGCTTGGTGTGACCCTAAAACTTCTGTCGCTGTCATTGTCCTGTTGTTCATTGATTTGCTTGAGTGGGCCCAGTAACATTGTGAGACTTGTTTCTGTGTTTGGCATATTGAATACTTAATCACTTAACTTCCCGTTAGTCGTCGATTTGCTCCAGCAGGCGCTAGTAACGTCTCCATTTGTCCCTGTCGCGTGCTAGTGTAGCCCAATGGCATCTGTTCGCTCTGGGAACATGAAGAGCCTCAAACCGATCGTTCATGATCTTGACGAAGAAGTCTGACCATCTGGTAGGTGGGCGGCCACGTGGTCTTTTGACATCCCGTGGAATCCAGTCGGTAACAGCTCTAGTCCAGCGGTCGTCTTTAAATCTCATTACGTCACCAGCCCATCTGATTTTTGACACCTTGGCAAATGAGACAGCGTCCCTGATTCTTGATCATTGACGGATGTCGGAACTCTGGATTCTTTCTCTCATTTGAGTGAAACATGATATTCCAAGCATAGCCCTTTCTATTCTTCTTTGGGAGACCTGAATAGCGTTCTCATATTGAATACATCACGGGTAATTTGCTGTTGGCTGTGTACAAGGCAAATGCCCTACCTGCTGTGCTATTACTCCATTCCAACCCAAAAACTTAAAAAAAAAAAAAGGACTGGTAGATTTGAAGAAGAATCAAGTATCGTTCTTAAAAGTGAAAAAAAAAAGGTCAAAAAACTGAGTGCTGAGGTAAATAGCATTTAAGACAGATTGAAAGAAAATTAATGAGCTAGAAGATGAAAGTTAGTTTGCAACAGAAAGAGATAAAAGGGAAAAATAGGAAAACTGGGCCCAGGATATGAGTGAAAGTGGTAGAGCACAATTCACGCATGTGTGAGCCCCTGAGCTTGATACCTGGCACCACACTGTCCCCCCAGCACCTTTGAGTACAGCCCCTATTGCCCCTTGAGCAGCTCTGGACACAAGCATCATTGTGAACTGTCGCCAAATTCCCCCAGCACCTCTGCACGTAGCTCCTGTCAAAAATAGGAAAACAAAGCTATGAAGAGTGGAGGGCAAAGGGCAAGATGTAACTTGTCCAGGGGGCCAGGGGATGTACTTCGTAATAGAGCATTTGCCCTCGTGAGTTCAGTTCCCGTCGTTGCGGGAACCAGGGAAGATGTGATTGATGACCGGCTCAGGCTTCCATTGAACTTGTTCAGGTTCTGGAATTGGCCACCTCACACTATTTGGCAGAGAATTTGCTGTCGCTATATTGATTGGAAATGTTTAGAAACACTGCAAGAGTACACAAATTTAAGGGCAGGGAGTTTTCCAGAAAGTGTATTTTAAACTAACGAAACCCTCCTTTCTGATTTAGAGTCTGTCTCCAAAGCAGAAGACAATGAGAAATCCTTGTTCTTCTGGTCACTTGAGTTTTATTCTAAGGAACATTAAATTAATTTATTTCCTTTGTGTTGTTACCCTGGAGCCAAAAGAATGTACATGATAAACTTGTAGATCCGAGAGGCAATGGAGCAGTGAAGATTATGTGAATCCTTTTAATGAAGTTGGTGTGTGATAAATAATTGTATCAGTTTTTAGTGGAGACAAGATATTTTCCTCTTTTTTTACTTTTTTTGCTTTGTTTTGTTTTTAGTGAAGGGGAAGTCCCACTTAGCTAACAGGATTGGTGGTTCAGTTCAAGGTCTCAAGGATGTGATGCTGCTCAGGCCCTCTCTGAGATTATGGGGGGCAAAGAGGTCCACACTCAGCAGTGGTTGAGGTCAGCAGGGCTGCCCTCAGCAGGGCTCGGAGACCATGTGGTGCTGGGCATCAAAGCTGGTCCAGAGTATACTAAGCATTCCTGTGGAACCAAAACAATCTTAAGTATTGACATTTCAAAGCCACTATCCCATTGTAACTAGTCTGTTTCTTTAATTTAGAAAAATGTCAGGGGAGTAGTTTAAAGAAGGTACCCCAAGGAGAGAGGCAATGGTGGTGAGAAATTGTTGTCTGCCATGGGTGTAGTGCATCCGGCAGCCATTGGCAGGCCATAGAAGGGGACAGATCACATCCATGTCCCAGCTCTTCCAGCTCAGGTGGAAATGGAAATTTGCCTGGGTAGTGCGGAAGGTCCTCACCTCCATGCCCACCACGCCTGAAGCCTGAATCACTTATGCTAAGCTCAGGGGCCCTATAGATGGGAGGACCGAGCACCCAGCACCACTGCACTTACTCCCCGAGGACCATTTCTTTGCTTTGCTTTGTTGGTTTTTGGACCACACCTGGCAATGGTCAGGACTTCCTGCTAGCTCTGCACTCAGAGCTCACTCCTGGTGGTCTCAGGAGACCATATGGGATGCTGGGGATTGAGTCTGGGTCAGCCATGTGAAAACAAGTGCCCTACCCACTGTACTATCGCTTGGGGCCTGGGAGGCCATTTCTAGAGGATCTGGTCCAGCTCCTGCCCTGTTGTCTGGTGTATGGGATGCTTTGCCTGTCATGATGAGACAGAGGGAGTTTTGCTTCAAGAATGACCGTGTCTGCAGACACTTCAGGAACATTACCTTAGAGGCAAGCGTCTCCAGGAAAGGGGGAGGATGAACAGGAGAAACAGGGTCAGAATGTCTTTGAAAAACAATCTTTCTGAAGTTCTCTCACGTTGCCTGCTGGATTTTTGCCTATTGGTGCACTGTGGAGGCTGTTATCAGCATGTGAGAAGCACTTTGCTTTATTTCATTTTTCTTCCCTGCACTGTTTTGCTAGTTTGTATTGCCAGTGTGGCAGTAGGCAGTCTATCTACTTTGTTATTGATTGGTTGTCAGGGAATTGTTTCAGAATGATGATGATTTATTTTAATGAGTGGTATCTAGGAAAAGAGCAAACAGACTCAGGGCTGCAGAGGGCTGCAGCATTAATGAATAAGGGGAGGACAGTATTTTTTATTCCCTTCTATATTATTGGCTGACTTCAAGTAATCTTTAAAATCGATTATTTGTGAGTCTCTGATTGTTTTTACTGTTTCCTGAATTCAAACAAATTCCTTAAACAAAGTAACACTGTAGCACTGTCCTCCCATTGTACATCGATTTGCTCCAGCGGGCCCAAGTAACGCCTCCATTGTGAGACTTGTTGTTACTGTGTTTGGCATATCGAAGTCACGGGGAGCTTGCTAGGCTTTGCCGTGTGGGCGAGATACTCTCGGTAGCTTGGCGGGCTCTCTGAGAGGGGTAGAGGAATCAAACTTGGGTTGGCGGGTCAGCTGCGTGCAAGGTAAACGCCCTACTGGCTGTGCTATCTCTGAAGCCCCTTAAACAAAGTAAGTTGGGTAAATGAGAAAGATAACTTGATGGTGGATACCTGTACAGAATTCTTATGTGCTGTTTTTTGTATCAACAGCTACTTCATTTTTATCTTTGACATTTGGAGCCATTGGCCATTCCTCCTGTTCTGTCTGTCTCTCTCTGTAATTAATAGAAAGACAGAGGTCAATGTCTGTTCCTCCTACTCTTCCCTCTGGGATAATCCTTTATTTCAAAGGCACAGCAGAAGAGCTGTTTTGAATAACGGAGGGTTATTCATTCGAACAGAATCCCCCATTTGCAATTTCATAGACCTTCATCCACCGGTAGGGGATCTCTCTCTCTCTTTGATTTACTCAGAAGAAAATTCTTAGTTTCGACTGAAAACATGAATTTGCAGAGTTGCAAATTTCCAATAACTCTTTATTCTAATGTAATTTTAAGCTACCCCACTGGTGATATTTGATAAATACTTTTATTAGGTTTGATCCAGTGTTCTTTTTTTAAAAAAAATATTTCAAACAAAGAGTGAAAATCTATGTATATAGAATTAAGTCATGAAATATGCTCGGTTGGATCTGTAAGTAATCATTGAGTTCCTGTGGTATATAAAAGCATTTGAAGCCGTTTATTTATTTAATAATTAATGAGAGAAATAGAGCTACAATGCATCTTATGAGCCCCAAGCATCCCTCAGCGCTGTGCCTGGGACGGGGGTCAGAGAATCTGTGGTTGCGACCATGGCAACAAGTGCCACCCCTTGTCCAAGACCTTGATCCCTTGCTGGGTGTCAATTGTCATCTCTGGGACCTCAGATGCGGTGTCTGACCTGTGTCTACTGTAAGCCAGTACCCAGCAGTGTCTGCAAGGCCTCCTCTCCTGTGGAGTCTCACCTGTATTCTTGGTGGTCCCCCTCCTGAGTGCAGGGGTGCAAAGGGCTGGGTCCTCCAGAATGCAGGGGTTCTAGGTGGGTGCCAGGTTCTTCTCAGTGCAGGGATACAGGATTCTGTGTCCTCTTGAATGCAGGAGTACATGGTTCTGGGTGCTGTGTCCTTCTGAGTGCAGGGTGCTGAGTTCTCCTGAATGCATGGGGTCAGGGTCCCCTGAGAGCAGGGGTGCAGGGTGCTGGGTCCTCCTGAGTGCCAGGGTGCTGAAGAACACGCCCTTCACATGACCACAGCACTAATCCTGGTCACCACTGCCTGCAGAGGCCCTCACAGATCCAGTTTCTTCATTGTCCAGCTTCCCTTCTCGTCCCTCCTCCCCCACCCAGGGGGGCGACAGGCACACATGAGGGCGGAGACTGGGACAGCCCTGAGTCCCCAGCTTGTGGCCCACACCCCATTATTCTCTAACTCTGCCTTTTGGACACCCCTGTCTCATGAAAGGGAACCCCCACCTGGGGGGCGCTGGACCTTAGAAGCGATTCAGGTTTCAGGGGTGGTGGCAGGGAGGTGAGGGCCCCCTTCCTTGCTACTCAGACAGAGTCTGGGGAAGCCACTTGCTTCTGTGGGTGCAGGAGGCCAGGTGGCCAGTGTGGTGTTGGGCAACTTGCACACCATTCATGCCTTGGGTTCCAGGTACCCCGAGAGCTATGTCTCTCCCTGCTTGCACTTGGGTTCGTCATTTGTACACGGGGTCCCCCCTCCGCATGGAGTGGCAGGCACCACCGGAGACACCCTCAGGTTTACAGGCCTTCAAGAAGTGCCCTCAAAGTGGGGTCCCGCTGAGCTCCACACCCGGGCTGATCTCTTCTGCCTGCCCCGTCCGAGAGTCATATGAGAAACAGCAACAGCAGGGGTGATGCCAGATGGCAGGTCACAGCTGGACTCATTCCTGTCCGTGGTCCTGGGGTTGTTGGCAGCAGTGGATTCCTATTCTCCCTGCCAGGAGGGGGGGCCTTTAAGAACTCGCAGCACCCCACCCTGGAGCTCGAGGGGAACATGGGGGGCTTCTTGCTTCAGAGCACTGCCTGGGGGGTGAGCCTGGCCCTCTTGTAGTCCTGCCCAGGACTCCTGGGATAGCCATGGTGACTCCAGGAGACAGTGCAGAGTGGCAACCTGTGCAGTTCCTTCTCAGGTTGAGGGGCCGGAAGGGAACAGGAAGAGGACTTGGTCAGGTGACCAGGCAGTGGCAGCCCACCCCAGGTGCAGGTGATGGAAGCGCAGAGGCAGAGAGCAGGCGTGGGAGGAGGTGACCTGTGAAGGGACCTCTTGTGGAATGACTCGGGAGAGACAGTCCTGGCCAGAGTTTTGCAAAGGGACTGCTGAAACGCGAGCACTGCTGGGGTGACGGGCTGGGTGTGGGGGCCAGCAGGGCCAGAGGGTCTGGAGTGGGGTAGGGGGAGAGCCAGGCATCAGGCTGTGGCATGCCTTGCAGGTACCTGATCCCTTGCAATCACATGATGCTGAGCCAGAGGTGGGCCGTGAAGGAGAGAGACTGCTACTCCGTGTCTGCTGCCAAGCTGCTGGCGCTCACCCCAGTCTGCTGCTCCAGTGGGATCACCCTGACGCTCGGCAACCAGGAGAGGGATTATATCCTCTGGTCCAAGTGCACGCAGGAGAGCACAGGTAGGAGCTCGTGCCTGGTGATCTTTTAACAGAAGTCTCCTTGCACACCGCGTCTCTGGGGAAATGTGTGGGGGATGCCATGAGTCCCCGTTTTCTGCCGGGGGTGGGGACCTCAGCTTCTCCAGTAGGCTGCTCACTGAAGCACCCCACAGCCACATCATAGGTGACCCTGGGCCTTGGTTTTAACTGGACTTCCGGGCATCCTTGAATCCAGAGGGGCCAACACCCACCAACTTCTCCTCAAACACACAGGGTAAGGGCAGGCAGGTGGCTCAGTGCCCTGGGGGGGGGGGGGGGGGGTCCTGGTGCCCTCATGCCCAGGGCTGGAGCCACCCCTGCATGGTGCCCATGAAGACTTGGAGGCTTCACCCTCAGCCTTCACAGGGTAGATTTTAAAATAAATACATTTCTAATTAAGGCACTAGTAATTTTTACAATGTAATTCATGATTGAGTTTCAGGCATACAGTGTTCCAACACCAGCTCCACTTCCAGTGTTAGCATCCCCCTTTCTAAGTGTTTCCCTCAGTCGGTGAAGTTGAAACCACCTCAAAGAGTTGTGACAAGGACAAATAGGTTGGGCCCTGGGAAGCTCTTAGAAGGAGCATCTCCATGCTGAGCTCACCCACATCTCAACCCTGGAGTTCCTTCCTTCTACTTAATGGGGTGGAAGGCTCTCTTTCCTCTGGAGAAGCCCCTTTCTCTCTCTTTTTTTTTGGGGGGGGGGTGTCACAGTGTACTCAGAGATCCTGACTCTGTGCCCAGGGATCACTCCTAGCAGGGTTCGGGGAACCATATGGGAGGCTGGTGATTGGACCTGGGTTGGCCACAGCAAGGCAAATGCCCTACCCACTTACAATTACTCCAGCCCACCCCCTTTTTCTCTTGAACACATTTCTCTCTCTCTCTCTCTCTCTCTCTCTCTCACTCTATCTCTCTCTCCCTCTTATTTCCTCCTTTCCTCCCTCTCTCTCCCCCTCTCCCTCTTTCCCTCTCTCCTTCCTTCCCTCTCTCCCTCTTCCTTCCTCCACATGTTCCCAAAATAAAGCTATTAGGATGCACACACACACATGTGCTTTTTTTTTTTTTTAAATTTATTTATTGAATCACTGTGGGAAAGGTTACAAAGCTTTCAGGTTTATGTCTCAGTCATGCAAATATCAAACACATTTCCCTTTACCAATACTTATTTTTTACCAAGAAGAACCCCAATAAATCCCCACCCCCCACCCCTCCCCGTCCCTGTGAGGCAGATGAATTCTAGTTAACACTCTATCTGCTTTGATTAGATTCATTGTTTCAATAAAAGATTCACCACTATTATTTAGCGTTTACCCCCCCCCCCCCCACAAATCAGACATGCTGAAAAAGCATTGTGAAGTGATTTGCTTTCTACAGCTGGGTTCAAGAATTAAATGTTGGTTTTGGATTTCTGCTATTTTACCTATTGACCCTGGAAGTATTTCTACTGAAAGTCAGATAGTTAAGAAATTGGTTTCTGTGTTCTGGAGTCGTGGCCGTGCTGGAGAGCCGCTCGCGGGGGGCAACCGGTGGCCTCGGTAGGGCGTGAAGGGCGGAGCGAAACGCCCCCCTTCCCATGAGGTTTTAGTCGCCCCCACACTCCCGGCTCATACCTGCTGTCCACAAGGCTCCCATGTGGCCGCCATCTTTCTTTCCAGAGAGGAGCGGGCGAATGGGGCAACACCCTTTCCCCTCCGGCAGACTTGATGGGCTGGATCAACGCATAGTCCGTTCACTTTTCTGCTCCAAGCTGCTGGGTTCTGCATTAAGTCCTTGTGCTTCTGGGGCCATGGCTGTGCTGGAGAGCCGCTCGTGGGGGGCGACTTGTGACCTCGGTAGGGCGTGAAGGACGGACCGGAACGCCCCCCGACCCATGAGGTTTTAGTTGCCCCCACTCCCCCGGCTCATACCTGCTGTCCACAAGGCTCCCATGTGGCCGCCATCTTTCTTTCCAGAGAGGAGAGGGCGAATGGGGCAACACCCTTTCCCCTCCGGCAGACTTGATGGCCTGGATCAATGCATAGTCCGTTCACTTTTCTGGTCCAAGCTGCTGGGTTCTGCATTAAGTCCTTGTGCTTCTGGGGCCATGGCTGTGCTGGAGAGCCGCTCGTGGGGGGCAACTGGTGACCTCGGTAGGGCGTGAAGGACGGACCGGAACGCCCCCCTTCCCATGAGGTTTTAGTCGCCCCAACACCCCTGGCTCATACCTGCTGTCCACAAGGCTCCCATGTGGCCGCCATCTTTCTTTCCAGAGGGAGGAGGGTGGAAGGGAGCAACACCCTTTCCCCTCCGGCAGACTTGATGGCCTGGATTAACGCATAGTCCGTTCACTTTTCTGCTCCAAGCTGCTGGGTTCTGCATTAAGTCCTTGTGCTTCAGGGGCCGTGGCTGTTCTGGAGAGCCGCTCACGGGGGGCAACTGGTGACCTCGGTAGGGCGTGAAGGACGGACCGGAACGCCCCCCTTCCCATGAGGTTTTAGTCGCCCCCACACCCCTGGCTCATACCTGCTGTCCACAAGGCTCCCATGTGGCCGCCATCTTTCTTTCCAGAGAGGAGAGGGCGAATGGGGCAACACCCTTTCCCCTCCGGCAGACTTGATGGGCTGGATTAACGCATAGTCCTTTCACTTTTCTGCTCCAAGCTGCTGGGTTCTGCATTAAGCCCTTGTGCTTCTGGGGCTGTGGCAGTGCTGGAGAGCCGCTCGTGGGGGGCAACTGGTGACCTCGGTAGGGCGTGAAGGACACATGTGCTCTTAGAAGATATTCTGGCACATTTTAACTACTACAAAATGATCACTAGTAGTTGTGTGCTTTTATTTAGAGTAGACAATTTTAAAAAGCTAGCCTTCAAGGGGTAAAGCTGTGAAAAATGAATCCCATTTGTCCTGGTGACCTGGAAACGAGTCTTCTTAAAGTCTCAATTCTGGCCCAGGAGGGGAGAGATTTAGATCATGGGGAGACAAGAAACTTGCAAAAGTGTGGCATCAGCACCATTATTCCGGCTGGTGAGAGGTGACCCACATGTGGACTGCGGCCCTGGCTGAGGGTGATCCTTTGCCTCTGAGCCTCAGTTTCTCCCTCTGCCACTGGGGAAAGAGGCGTCTTGCTTGACATTGAGGCAGCTACAAGGACTCGTGTCTGGCATGGACAAAGCGGCTGCTGCTTTGCTGGTACTTTAGAAATTTGCTTTTCTTTGAGCGTCTTTCTTTCTAAAGGAAAGTTCAAACTTGACCACAGACCTTTTTACAGCCACCTCAGGTACAGAACTATGACCTCAAAGTGCAGAGTGGCTTGTGGTAAAGCACTGAGCATCTTGGGTAGAGACTGTGACTTTACTCAGCGACTGTTTGATCCATGGGGTTCGTCTGCCGTCCCCAGGAAGACAAGAGGAGCTAGCAGGCCTTTATCAAAATCCAGGGCTTTAGAGAAAACCCTCGCCCTGGGGACACGGTCTGACAGCAGCTCCTTGACTTGGGCATCCGAGTTTCCGTCTGTGGCCTTAGTTACAACCCCCCTCCCCCACACCATACACACACACACACACACACACACACACACACACACACACACACACCCCTCCCTGAATGTAGTTTCTGGTATATTCTCTCTTATTTTGTTTTATTTAGGGGCCACACCCAGAGGTGTGGGGGATCAGGGGACCAAACTCAGTCAGGCTTGAGCAAGAGAGGCACCTAACCCGTTGTACTAGGGTCCCAGGCCCATAGTCTGTCCTCCTTAAAACACAGCTTTTTTTGTATTTGTTAAAAATTTTATTTGGCGGGGGGGGGGGGGGGGTGACTTGGCTTATTAGTAGTGTGGCAGGATGACCCTGGCAGTGCTGGAGGGGACCAGGGAGGGGTGCTGCGGTCCCCCTACCGCGCACATGGTCTCCTCATTTGTATTCTCCCCTGTCCTCAAATGTGGCCATTTAACTATTTAGAAACCACCCATTAAGCACATCCTTACAGTTAATTTTGTTTTTAAATTTTATTGAGATAGATTCTTACAGAGCTGTTTATGATTAGGTTTCAGTCATCCAGTGTTCCAACACCCATCCCTCCACCATTTCCCAGCACCAGAGTCCCTCTTTCTTCTTTTTCCGTCCTTACACTTTTTAACTTTCTGTATCTTTTCTGAAGAAGCAGTAGTTTACAACATGGCACATGTTTAGGGGTGCCGTATTGTAAACTCTCCTTCGAAGCCTGTCACCCCCTGTCTCCCACCCTCTCTTAGACAACAGTCTGTGGTGACTAGAGCCAAGAAGCAGGTGAGTTGACTTTCAGGAGCCCCCCGCCCCGCTCAGGACCTGCCTGACACTTCTCTCCCGCAGGGCCTTCAGAGGAGCTGCTCCCCCAGGCCTGCGGCCCGGCCGCCTGCATCGTGGAGTATGGCCGCGCCCTGGACATCAGCTACTTGCAGTACCTGTGGGAGGCGCACACCAGCATCATGCGCTGTGAGCGAGCCTGCCGTGTATGGTCCGCCCGCTACGACGGCGACAGCCCACGGCCTGAGACCAGCGCTGCCCAGCCCCCGCAAGAGCTCCCCGGGAACCCCAGCTCCCACCTGCCCCCACCCAAGGACAAGGGCCACACGGAGCTGGAGTGGGATGACAGCTACGATACCGGCATGTCTTCCGGGGCCCCAGCCGACCAGCCCGAGCCCCCAGCCCCCGTGGAGCCCCCCAGGCACATCCAGGAGATGAAGAAGAGCGCTCTCCTGCTCTTCAAGGGTACCTACATCGAAGAGTCGGACTTCCAGGATGACGTGATGGTGTACAGGCTGTGTGCCCAGAAGGATGCCCAGGACAGGGCTGCGCCCCCAAATCCCCCCACAGACAACGGCCCCTTGTCTGGCCCCCAGCCGGAAGCAGACCCAGGGGAGGAAGACCACAGTGACCATTCTGATCTGTCCCCAAAGCAGGCCCAGGAGCCGCGACAGGAGCCAGGATCTGATGGAGCCCCCGACTGGGACACAGAGTTAGCAGCCCCCGTCTTCGCAGCTGAGCCTCAGACACACCCCTCAGCCGTGAACCCAGAGGGGAAAGATACTGCCCAGCACCCCATGGCTGTGAACCCAGAGGGGGACGATACTACCCAGCACCCCATGGCCGTGAACCCACAGGGGGATGATACTGCCCAACACCCCATGGCCGTGAACCCAGAAGGGGAAGATACTTCCCAGCACCCCACAGCACCCCCCGACGGGGAGGATCTCATTGCCCAGTATGACCAGATCATCAAAGAGCTGGATTCTGTCCCCGAGGGCTTGCTGGAGGCGAGTTTCTCCCCTGACAATCCTTCCTTGCACACAGCCGAGCAGGAGGAGGAGCGGGGAGAGAGCAGAGCCAAGGAGGAGGAAGAGGAGGGGAGGAAGGTGCTGGAGGAGGAGGAGGACGATGACTTCGACTCCTTGATAGCGGAGCCCCCTGCCCTGGAGCGCCTGGAGTGCCCGTTCGGGGTGAGAGATGACCCCGCCTGTGCCTCACGCCAGCCCCCGAGGACTCAGAACACCCCGTTCACAGGTGACAAGTTTGCCTTGCTTTGCCATTTCTGCTTTTCAGAATGTGTGTCCATTTTGCAGGAGGAAGGCCTGGTAGGGGACTGCCAGGGGCTCCACTAGCCTCACCAACGGGGGCAAATCCATTCTGGAGAGAGAAAGGAGGCCTGGATTCTGTTTCATTTCACTTGATTCTGTCACTCTGGCAGTAATTTTCTGTGCCTCTGATCCAGCACACTCGAGGTTAAATTGTAGAACTTTGAGTCCTTTTCCTTATTATTCTTCAGTGGTAGCCCTGTTGAAACACATAAGAAGTTCAGTTTCATAGCCTTGTCATCTTCAGTCTAACATTTTTATTTTCTCAGCATTTATGTTTATTTGTATGGAAGAATAACAGTAGCCAGAGTAAGGCGGGTAAGGCCCTTGCCTTGCATGTGGCCAACCCCTCTTCAATCCTGGGCATCACATGTGCTTGCCCCAAGCAGTGTTGGCTTGTTCTCTGCCCCTTCCCAACTCACCAAAACAGTGAACTGGGTATTCTGGGAAGACACTGTGCATGATAAGATAGGTGAGAGGGTGGGGGAGGGATGGGATTGGATAGGCTGGCAGCCTAGACTAGCTCAGGAGAAGATGGAATGGGTTGGGGGCAGGGGTAGTGTAGGGTAGGGGGTAGGCCAGTAGTTTAGGGGAAAGAATCCTTTGACTAGGCTGGGCTGACAGCAGAGGAATCAGTGCAGAAACCATCAGGACTCACAGGCCAGCACATCTGCAGATGAGGAAGTGGGCGGGAGAGGTACAGAATGTTCCTGAAGCTCAGGGAAGACTGGAGTGGGGCCCTCAGAGGTGCTCCGAAGCACAGAGCTGGCCCCACTGAGGAGCGACAGAGCCTGGAGTCATGCCCAGGCATCCTTTCTCTGCCACCTCCTGCCACAGAGCCTCCGTGCTGCTGACACTCCCAGTGTTCCTGGGACTGCATTCCCCCTGTGCCCTCTCACAGGGTAACGGGTGTCTCTCCCTGGCCAGCCGAGGGAGCTTGGAGGAGGGAGGCCAGAATCCTGCCTCCTCCAGCCACCTAGAAGTCACTTGCAGCTTTTGTCCAGCCAGGTTGGCTTAGCGTGATTTTCAGGAGCTCTTCCTCCTTCCTGCAATCTTTATTCATCTATCTACTGAGCAGTTATTGAAGAAGGAGAAAGCTTTTAATTCCACAATGAAAAGGGTGGAGGTTCTAGTGGAGACACATTTCAGTGTGAATGGCTTTTAATTAAAATCCAATCAGTCAGTCAATCATAAGTCAAGCAACTGGATAGTCTCTTCCAATCACGAAGGGCAGGGCAGGGAAGGACTTAGGAGGGGCTCTACCGTTTAGAGGGGGTGCAGAGCCAAGGGGATGGGGGTGTGGAAATAACCTGGCAATCACAGTTTTGTATGAGTTCCCTCATTCATGCTCACCCAGGAGGTACCCGGATTGAACTCTCCACAGCATCAGGGTTGCCTAGGGCTGATGGACATTGTTCTTCCTTGATTCCCTTTTCATAGGGACCACTCTGGGCAGGGCTCGGGGGCCACACAGTAGCAGGGGTTCCACCGAGGACCTGGCACATAAGCTTCCACTGGAGCCAGCTCCTGCCCTTTAAAATGCCAACACAAGGACTGGACAGACAGTACAGGGCTTACCTTGTTCAGCCTCTGACGCCACATGTGGTTCCCTGAGCACAGAGCCAGGAGGAGCCCCTGACCACTGCAGATACTCAAAATTAAATGTAAATATTTTTCTTTTGGTGGCATGGCCCCAAAATCCCACCAAGAAATAGAAGGTCAGCTTTTTTGGGTCCAGAAAGATGGCTCAGCAGGCCGGACATGTGTGAGAGGCCTGGGTTGGATCCCGTGGTCCCCAGAGCAACCCCAGTAAAGAGCCAGGAATAGCATCTGAGCACTGCTAGGGAGGGTCTCAAAGCAAAAAAGGACAAAAAATAGAATGCAACTTTCTTTAAACGGGGTTACATCCCTGGGAAATACGTTACATCCCTGGGAAGTACAGGAGCTGAGAAAACTAAATATATATCAGGACAAAAGCTAATATGATTCCTTTAAAAAATGTATCATGTCTTGTCACTACTACACCTGGGAGCCAACATAAAATAATGAGTCTGGGGTGCGCATAGGTCATTTTGACCAGCTTGCCTCCTTTGGAACTTGGGCCACATCTGTTTTCTCTCCATGGAGGTGAACCCGGCAGTTCCCAGCCTCCGAGTGCTGCATGGCACCAGCCTGACTTCCGTCTCTCCAGACTCTTGGTGGCTACAGGCATGGACTTACTTTCTAACCAAATCAGAGCATGCCATGGCTCTAACCAACTGTGTTGCTCAAGCATGTCACGATTTCTCAGCACCAGACACACACCATGCTTGGTTCTGAGGGTGCCCAGTGAAATGAAGGAGTATGTTGGGGCGTGGAGTCAGGGTACAGCAGGTAGGGTGCCTGCCTTGCACACAGCCAACCCAGATTCAATCTCCATCACCCAATATCTTCTCCCAAGACCCACCCGGAGTGATCCCCAAGTAAAGAACCAGGAGTAAGCCTTGGGCTCCTCTGGGTGTGGCCTGCAGACACAAAGGAGCCTGCAGCCCTGTCAATGGAATGAGCTCCATGAAGAAGGTGTTCCCAGTCCTGAGGGAACATCCTGGGAAAGACAGGGAGTGGGATGGGCTTGTGGAGAAGGGACACAGCAGTAAGCAGAAGTGACCAGGTTGGTAGAGCATGAGGTGAACATTCAGGAGGGTGGCCGAGGAGGTGAGCATGAGGTGGCCATCCAGGAGGGTGGACGGAGGAGGTGAGCACATGGGGCCTGATGGTGCAGGCCCTGGAAGGCATGAGGGGATAGAGGAAGCCAGGCCACTGGCAGTGCCAGCTTGCGGGGAGCCTTTGGGCCAAGTCGATAATGGGGAGCTGGTGCCCAAGGACTGGAAATGCCCTTGAAGTGGTCGCGCTGGTGAGTGGTGTGTGTAAGGGCAGCCTGCAGTGATGGGCAAGACCAGTACCAGCCCCGCACTGAGTCAGCGCCGAGAACGGCAGTGCCCTCTGCACTAATTCCATCTCACAGCCACTCGGACACATAGGTGCTGAGCTGCACAACAGAGAGGTTCATGGCCCTTCTCTGTTTAGGACAGAGAAAGACCGGAAACAACCCAGTGTCCACCTGTAGGACAGTTACACAAATGCAACACCCAAATATGATCTGTGGATACCATACTTCACCACAGGAGTATCACACCCTGATCTTGAGTAACATCGACACCATTTTAAAAAAGTCTCACGGTGCTGGCTTCAGCAGCATCCTTGCTGAAATTGCAGGGAAGGTTTGGGCATCCCGCTCTTCCCCTCCCCACCCCCCAACATCAGTGACAAAGCACTGATTCATGAAACATTCCACATTCCTAAACAAAACGAGTCAGGAGAGGAAATGCCAGGGGTTTCACCTGAGCTGTGTAGAGAAACAAAACAAGGGAATAATCAGTACCTAATAATGGCACACCCTGGACTCGCATTATAAACCAGAAGTTACCAGATGATTGGGGCTGAGGACGGGAGGAAGGCAAAGGGTGATGAGAAGACACAGTTGGACAGGGGAGGAGGGTTTTGAGCACTGATGGTGACATGCGGAAACTGTATCAAAACTAAAAATGTTAATGCTTTTCTATACATTCAGCCTAAACTATAATAGTTTAAAATGAAACTGTGATGGAAACAACACAAAAGAGATATACCTGGACACCCTCCCTTCCCCGGCCCCAGGAAGCAGGAGGCTGTGCTGGTCAAGAGTATAGACTCTGGAAACTGGTGGTCTGGATGAAACAGACTTGTTTGCTAGTTGTGTGTACAATCTACCGCGTCTCTAATATGGGTAAATAAAGAACATGAGAGGCGAGAGGGAGTCGATCATGGAAAGAGCTGGGGGCCTGGGGCCTTGGTCCAGGGGGAGATTATGTGTCTTTCATGGGGGAGGCCCTGTGTGTGATTGCCAGCACTGCCCACAGAAAAGGGGAAAAAGAGCAAAGAGAAGTGCCTGAAACACGCCCAGACAATTGTATGTGGTTAGTCAAGTGCTTTATCATAGTAATCCAGCTCCTGTTTTATTATTTACACAACCTTCCTGACATCTGGTAACCCGGAACCTGTTAAGGGGGGCAGCCCGCAGGGAAAGGCCGATTCTGCACATTCCTGTACTGTTGGATCAAACAAGGGACATGATTTACTTGTTTGTTTTGTCTTTTTGCCCATACCTGGCAAGTGCTCGGGGCTCTATGTGGTACTACAGGATCAAAGCTGGGCCTCTAGCGCCTGCAGTCTGTGCTCCAGTGAGCTGTCTCTCAGCCCTTTGGATTTTTAGCTTAAGACCTGACTCGATTCAGATAGGACTGTTGTTGTTGCATTTCAGATGAGGGGCTGAGGAGACTGACCTCAGGCAGTACTGGTCCAGGTTGGGGCAGGGTCCCTGGCAGAGTGGGCGGTGCTGGGGGGAAGGGGTGGATGGTGGCCAGAGAGTGACAGGGATGATAGAGGGTCTTAGCCATCCTGAAAATGAAGCCTTGCGTTGCGGGGATGCTTATCCAGCCAGGGGAAGCAGGGGCTGGGGAGAGAAACAGCCTCCGCTCCGGCACCCCTGTGGCTCTCAGCTCTGTGACTCTGCTCTGTGGCTGGCTTGCTCCTTTCAGCAGTTCCAGTTTCCCTTAGCAACTGCTTTCTGCTAAGCAGTTTGCCCCCTCCCCCCCAAGTGCTAGAAACCACCTCAGAATTCTCAAGAATCTGAAGGGACTGACTCTCTCTTTCACCGTACACACGCCTGGGAGGTTATCCTTGTCAATCATCCTTGTCAGTCCTGACCTTCTGTCACTCAGGTGTGACTGCGAGTAAAGCCTCAGCCTGCCGTGAGGGCTGGGGAGGGTCGCTCGCTGCAGGTGGGTATCTGGTCTTAGCAGCCTGTGGAGGCTGAGGACAGGCTGTGACCTGGGAAGGGAAGTTGTTGGCTCCTGTTTACATGTAAATGTTCTACCAGCAGCTTCTTCTACCCACCCATGACTAAGCTCCTCAGTGTGTTTCCCCTAAGGAAGGAGACACAGGCTGGGCCAGGGACTGCAGTGGCAGAGGGAAGGTGTGAGGAGAGATGGTCTTCTGGTCTAGACTGGAGGGCATGGGCAGTCACCTTCATAGATCCTTCCAGATGAACCTGGAAGTCTTGGACAGCGTTAAGGGGTGATTGAGGGCATTCTGGGGTGCTAATGCAGCCCCTTCAAGTTGTTCTCACAGTGCAGTCCCCACCCCAAGTCTCTCAGTGTACTTGGCAGACTCTTCTGGTCTCCAGTGGTGAGCAAACTCTCCCTCTCCCTCCCTCTCTCTCTCTCCCCCCCCCCCCCACCTCTCTCCACTTTCTTCTCTCTCTCTCTCTCTCTAGTCAGGCTCAGTCAGAGGGGCTTATTGAAGCTAAGATTGAGCCACAGGGGCTGGCTGTGGACTCCTCCTCTACTCCCTGCCATAGGAATATGGGTCTGCCTTACTGGAAGGTTCTGTTGGGTTTCTCACTGGCAGCTGCTGCTTCCCTCTGGGTGCCCTGACCTGGTGTCACAGCAAGCGTTTCTGTGAAACTCTCCCTTTTCAGGGCCTGTGGCTCCTCCAGGTCCCAGTGGCACGTAAGAGCCACCCCACAATATTCTCACTGATTTGCTTAATGGACCGTATCCATGGTAAGAACGAAAAGCATCTTTAACTTATTTCATTAACACCAGATTAGTTTTCTTGATTTTTTCCCTGTCTTCAGTGGATTTGGACATAAAGCATATTAATTTCCTGACAACCCAGATTAATCGAAGCTGGGTTTTTAAGGCTCGATGTTGCCAATGAACTGGCCTATTCAGGCCTATGGATTTTCTTTTATACAGTAACCTGTGTCACATCAGACTTGCATGCCCCATACCAAGTCCCTCCTCTCATTTAGAAGTGACCAGGTGGTCCCGGGGTGTAGAGGCCCCACTCTGGTCCCACTGATGTCCTCTCCTCTGCTTCTCCTGTGCTTGGCCCGAACGACACTGTCTTGCTCTCATGCTAGTTGCAGGTGAACCATCCTGTAGGTGGTGAAGTGGTTGACATGGTGAATGCATGTCTCTCGGGACCTCTGATGTTGGGGGAAGCAGGCGAGGTGTGCCTTGGGGGCATTCCCGGGCTAACGGAACTACAAGAACAGCAGGGGAAAGTTTACTTCCAGTTTGAAGCTTGAATTTGTGTGTGGTTTGATTTTCCACGTTCCAGGCATGTGATTATTTTCAATGCAGCAGAACAGTTTGTGACACCGAAGGATTTGCTGCAGGCCTCTTTCTCTGGTTCCTTTGGGTGGGGTGGTGGCGGCTTCTGTGATGCCTCAGTCTCAGCGCCACGTGGGGTTGACTTGTACCCGGTGGTCTGAGAGCCAGGCTCCTGTGGCTTCTCGGGGGTGCTGGGGCACAGGCACGCTGTCCTGAAGCCTGGTACTCTGCCCACAGGGCCTTTCATCAGTGTGGTCCTGTCCAAGCTGGAGAACATGCTGGAGAATTCTCTGCACGTCAACCTGCTGCTCATTGGCATCATCACCCAGCTGGCCAGCTACCCGCAGCCCCTCCTGCGCTCCTTCCTGCTCAACACCAGCATGGTCTTCCAGCCCAGCGTTCGCTCACTCTACCAGGTGTGTGCTCCGGAGGTGCAAGGGAGAAGCCTGCCACCTCTCCTTCCCCTGGACTTTATTTTCATGTTTTAGAAAAATCCCCGTGTTGAAACCTATGTCCCTTCCTGTCCCAGTTCCCTCCATGGATGGAGAATGGGCTGTGGGCAAAGCTTCCATCTAGTTTGGTTTTTTTCAGGGTGCCTTGCCAAGAGCAGTGAAGAAAGTGCATATGGGTCCAAGGATAGTAGAGCAGGTGATGGTGCTCACTTTGCAGGTGGCCGACCCCAGCTCAGTCCCTAGTGCTGCACCACCAGGAGTAACCCATCTCACAGCCAATCGCCATGGCTCCAGGACCAGAAGGGAAAAGAAAGAGCGCCTGCCCCGTGCCCTGAAAGTGCCCTCCCATGGGGCGGCTGCACTCCGATGAGGAACTTGTAACCACAGGCTCTAAAAATCCGTCGTGAAGCCTGAACATTGGCACTGTGGTGTTTTGACAGGTGCTGGCATCAGTAAAAAATAAGATTGAGCAGTTTGCTTCAGTGGAGAGAGACTTTCCAGGTCTGCTCATCCAAGCCCAGCAGTACCTGCTGTTCCGTGTGGACATGTCCGACCTGACCCCTGAGTCACTCACCAAAGGTAAGCCAGGGCCCCCCAGGGCCTCCAAATCCCATCACTCTCCTCCCCCCCACCTCCTGAACAGGACTTCCTGGTAGCTAAACCCCAAAAATGTCTTTTTCTGATGACATTTTCCCTCTGGGATGGAGGAAGAGGAGTGAGTCTAGAAGAGGAGGATGGGAGCAAGGATTCCCCCAGCTCCAGGGGGACGCTGCTTAGGCGGTCTGAAGCTGGCCAGTTCTTCCACCTCCATTCAGCAGATGTCCATCAGCTGCTTCTGTGACTAAAGGAAGCTGGGACGTGGGTGGTCTGAGTGATGCTGTCCACTGTCCGCTCTCCGAGGGGGTCTCAGATCTCAGAAATCTCCGCATCCAGCAAAGGATGATAAACAAGCGACCTCATGAGGTTAAAGGGTGTAGTAGAGGCTATTATAAAGGAGGGAGGCAGGATAAGGGGTTACATCTGGGGACAGGAAACCAGTCCTTGGCATCTGAATGATGGGGCTGTGTGGCCTGACACTATATGTATGACACAAATCCTCGTTCTGGGCTTTGACAGATGAGGTAAAGATTCTAAGGTCCTCACAGCTAGGGAAGGACAGAGTCTGCTTTGAGGCTCAGTTCCAGGGCGTTTAGGGGTGTATGACATGGACCATGATCTGTGACTACACCAGACCCCCAGGGGAGTTGCAGGAGAGCTGGGGTGTGGGTGGAATCGGGGCTCTTTCTCTGGTTAGCATTGGACCCCCGTGATGTCAAACAGGTTTTCACTGTTATCAGGACCTGTTTGAGATTCTGCTTAGAGGTAGCAAGCAGTAGAGAGATTCTAGCAGCTTCTCTGGTTCTTCGTGGCACAAACTGTAATGAGCTTAAATCTAGAAGGATATTTAAAGCAGCAAAGTGGAGGGGTGTGTGTGTGTGTGTGTGTGTGTGTGTGTGTGTGTGTGTGTGTGTGTGTTTTAACACTAAAGACTATAGTAGTGAGATGTGGAAAGTATTATAAATGTCAAGAATTTTTAGTACTGTAGTTAAGCAACACTCTGCGAAGAGTGTTGAAAAATGGGATTGAATTCTCAGAAGCAGCCAAAATAATAAAGAGCTTGAGGATAATGAGTCATAGGGAGTAATGAGGCTGCTTGAGTAGGGGACAGGAGAAGGCACACATAATCCCCATAAATACAGTCCGGGCCTTTACCAATCCCATAAATAGAGTTCGGAAATTAAATAGTCAAGAAAGTACAACCTTCTCACTGGTCGCCTGGGTTGGATAAAAATGTAAACACTATGAAGATGTTCAAGGTCAGGCTGCTCCCATCTTTAGATGTACTGGGGTGGAACGTTCTGGAAGCCTTATTTGGAGATTTCCAAGCCCCTTCCTGCCACTGACTGCCCACACTGGCATGGGAGTGACATATTGAGGTGTCTCTAGAAGGCACCTCCATTCTAATTTTCATGGCCACAAGAAGAAGCTGTGGGGAGTGTCCCCAGAAAACCCCCGAGGCTGGAGCACAGAGCTCTGGGAAACCGGCCCCCCAGATAGTGAGAGCTGCCCGGTCTCAGCCCTGCAGGGCAGGGGCACAGGTGCAGCCTCTGTGTGTCCCAGGGGACCTGGGGGTCACTAACCTGCACTTCACTGCTTACCTGGACTGCCTCTTTCGTTCCGCCCCTCATCATGGCCTGGGATGCAGAGGGGTCCCCCATGAACCCATGTTTGCACCACAGTTTCTCAGGTTCTGGGATACAGCTATCATGGCACATCTCTCTGGAGATTTGAGCTAGATCCGAGTTAGATTTGAGTGTCCCGGGTTGTGCCTCAGACTTTAGTCTATCACAGGAACCCCCCCCCCCCCCCCACTTCACCAACTAGTCCTTGTGCTAATACCACTGCCCCAAATCAAAGCAACACAGTGGCAGGTCCGTGTGTCATGGGAGGAGGTGGGCACAGGGCTTGGTGGGTCCATGTGTCATGGAAGGAGGTGGGCGCAGGGCTTGGCGGGTCCGTGTGTCATGGGAGGAGGTGGGCGCAGGGCTTGGCAGTTCTGTGTGTCATGGGAAGAGGTGGGCACTGGGCTATGGAGCGCCACCCAACATGCTGCTTTCTGCTTTCAGATTCCATTCAGGAGGCGTCCAGGGCAGGAAGCGCCAAGAACCTTTTGGATGGACCCCCGAAAGTGCTTCAGCCCTTCCTGAGCAACCGAGCCAAGGTGGCCGGGGTGCCCCCCAGCCTGCCCCTGCCCGTGCGGAACCCCATGCTGGCGGCCGCGCTCTTCCCGGAGTTCCTGAAGGAGCTGGCGGCGCTGGCGCAGGAGCACTCCCTGCTGTGCCACACGCTCCCGGGCGGCTGCGAGGACGCCTGCTGCTAGCTCGGCCGGGGCGAGGGTTTACGTGTCTTGACTGAATGTTCAACGCAAAGCTGCTTACGAAACTTTCCACTTTGAGATTTCCTGACAATACTTGATTTGGGGGGATCTGACGGGGCCTCCCCATCTCCCTCCTACCCTCGGGCCAGGCCCATCATCTTAGCCTCACAGACAGGTGACGTCTCCGAAGTGGGGGGCTCCTCGGGCAGAATTTCTTCGGTCCATTTTGCCTCAAGTTGTTTGGTGGTTTGGCTCCCGTCCCCTGGAGTTTCTCCCTCTTGCCACCTCAGTGAATCTGGGAATTCAGCCGTTTCCAGAAGTGCCCTCCCGTCAGAGGGCCGCATCTCTCACCAGCCCATAAAGACCGCACACCCACTCCAGTGCCTTCCGTGTTTGGCATCCACACTCAGGGGGAGTAGAGAGGGGAGCCCCCCGTCCCTGGCCAGGCACCTGCTCTGTGTCCCTTGAACTGGACTTGCCCTGCCCCCAGTCCTTGTGACGGCACAGGCTGATCCATCTGATCCATCAGTCTCCACTGTCTGCCTGGGAAGTCAGACCCCGCAGGAACTTGCAATGTGGGGACACAGTCTTGGAGTTCCTGACCCCCACACTGAAAATTGCCTTATTTTCCTAAGACTCGCACCTTCTGGGTTAGGCCCATGCAGACGGCCACTCTGGGTTTCAGAAAAGCCCTTGATCACATGGAGAGAATGCGGCCCCCGGTCCGATCACAAGAGGCCAGCCGCGCTTCTGTGTTTGGGGGACGGAGGGTGGACAGTAAACTCAGTCCTGCCTGTAAAAACACTGGAACAATGGGGCGGTATTATAAGTTTCTTGTTTGATTTTTCTAGTTTGTTGCACTTTGTTGAGACACAGGGACTGTCCAGCCACATGGGGGACAGGGATGCCGATGCAAATGGGTCTCAGGGGGTCCTGCAAGAGGCAGGTGTCTGCTTGGGCCTCACTCATGCAGCACTGTGTCTTCTGAGTAGTGGGGTCCGTTAGTCATCGACATGATGTATTAGTGCCTCTCTGCTCCCCTGCCTCCTCCACGAGCAATGACCGTACCAGAGTCAGCATGTCCTTAACCCGGCAGCGCCCAGAACAACTGCCGGCTAAGGACCAGACATCCACGCCTGATATTTGGGACTTCAGTCCCACACATGGGGGGCGGGGAGGCAGGGGTGGAGAATGGGCTCCTCCACAGTCTCTGAGTAGCCCTCCCCCTCCCCCCCCCCCCGGCCTCCACCATTGTCCCTGCAGCCTCAGCTCCTTTCAGTGGGCAGAGGATGGGCTGCAGGGCAGAGGCTGTCTGGGCACCCGGGGTCTTGCAGCAGAGAGAGACACACGGAGGGGGCACGGGCCTTGCATGGCTCCTGGGAGCCAGCCTCAACATGTTGGCGTGGTAAGCCGGGAGCCAGAGATGCCGATCGCCGTTTTTCATTCCTGACTTCAGGTGTGTTGTCTTCAGAAATGGGCCGCCCAGCTGGAGGGGTGGAGGCAGTGGGCAGAGGGTGGAAGCTTCACGACCCCTCATGTTTGCACGCCCTCACGTCTCCCCTCTCCAGGCACGAGCAGCAGGGACAGGAGCAGCAGTGCTGACGCTGTAATTTATTCTCCTCTCGCTTTGTTTTGCACAAGCGTTTTCTCTTCCCGCTCCAATCCTGCACATCGCCAGGTGTGGAAAAGGTTGCTGTGCCTTCAGGAAACTGGCCTTCGCATTGGGGTTTGATTTGCACTTCCCTCCTTCCCGCAGCCAGCAGGCCTCCACAGAGTACACCCGTGCCCGGTGGGGACGGTGTCCTGGAGAGAGCTGGACTCTGCCTCTTCTGTCCCTGTCAGTGGAGGGATGCGGAGTTCTGGGGTGGCCTCACTCCAGGGAGAAGAGCCTCAGTCTCAGACACCCCTCTATTTCCACTCCCTCCCCCCTCCCCCCAATGCGCTTCCTGTGCTGGGCTCTGGGTTTCCAGCGTGGAGTTGGGAAATGAGCCCGTGTGCCCCTGAGTGACTACCTGCCCTCCAGCTGTCAGTGTGAACCTGAGATGGGGCGGGCCAGAGCAGACTCGAGCCAGGAGAGGGGCAGTGCCTGGCTGGGAGGCATGGGGTGGGGGGTTGCTGGGGTTGCTCTCAGGGCTAGGAAGATGTTGCATCTTAGACCTCCCACAGGGAAGGGCCAGGGGTGCTGTCTACTCTTCCTGTCTGTGAGTAGGTGAGACCCTGGGGAGCAATCTTCTCTTAAAAATAATGAGTTTTGGGGGGAATATTGAGAGATACTTGGCAAACTTAGGAATGGGGTCCACCGGCAAGGATCCTCTTCCATGTGGCGGACCCCTCCATGGACCTTGGTGCTGCTTTGCCTCCTACAAGTGGCTACCACAGCCCTGTGCTGGTACCCTCACCCCTACTCCGGCTTCTGGAGCAGCACCTCATTCCCCTCCACTATAGCAAGGGATGTGAGATGCCAGGATATTTAAAACGGAGATTTGGGAGGCCAGCGAGAGAGTGCCTCAGGCAAGAAACTTGCCCTGACCCGGGTTTGATCTCTGGCACTGCTTATGAGCACTGCCAGGAGAAGCCCTGAGCATGGCTGGGTATTGCCCCCTCGCTATCCCCTTCAAAACTGAGATTTTGGAAATTGCCAAAGAAACATTAAAACATTTCCAAGACTTCCAGGTTGAGTGGAGCCTCAAATATAATACTGAGGGGTACGGGTCATTGATTAGTTTCCCGGCTCTGATTCTGACATGGGCATGGGTGCAGTAGCCCTGGAACTGGCATTTTCCTCATCACTGGATCCTTCCTTGCCCCAGTGTTGGGGGGAATTAAGACATCACCCCTGTTTGAGCATTTTAGAGGATTACTTGGACGTGCTAGCATTGGACCAAGGTCCCTGTCCTGCGTTGGGAGGACAGCTATGTTACCGGAAGCACCTGGGCCTGAGTCAACAGCTCTCGTGAGGGTAGGTGCTTAGCCCAAGGTGGAGAGGGAAGGCAGGTTTTGGGGTGGCCTGTTCATTGGGGCGACCAGTTCTTAATATGTCTGGCTCACTTGGGTAGCTGGAACCTGGGAGGTGGATTCTTTTACCTGAGAGGTGGACTTTTTTTTTTTTTTTGGCAAAACCCAGCAATGCTCAGGGGTTACTCCTGGCTCTGCACTCAGGAATTATTCCTGGCAGTGCTTGGGGAACCATATGGGATGCCGGGGATTGAATCCTGGTTGGCTGCATGTAAGGCAAACACCCTACCTGCTGTACTATCGCTCCGGCCCCCAGGAGGTGGATTCTAGATGGTTCTGACTTGCAGGACTGACTCATGAGGATGGCCCACTTGTACCACTGGCTAACCTCAGGCTGCCCCCGGCCTCTCTGAGATGCTGCCACACAGGTGACAGGGTTAGGAAGTAAGTCACCACGGTTGGCAATACTGGTCCCAGCTCCCTGTGCCATGCGACTCACTGCCCTCTGCCAGCTCTGCAGGTCAGCACGTGGGGGGGGGGGGGGAGGGGAGTGGCTGCCACATAGCTCTGGCATTCAGAGGCCCTCAGGCCCCTCTCCACGGCTGCTGGCCAGTCCCCAAACCACACTGAGCTCATTCCCACAAATAGCAGCGGGGACCCAGCACTGTCCAACAGGTTTTGCTCCCTGCTTAAATCACATCATCAAGGATACATTTGGAGGGAATGGAGCTGAGACTTTTTTATTCATTTTTTGTTTTGAATGACCATCATAAACCTAATGCTTTAGAAAGTGCTCTCAAAAGACTTAAGAATTGTTTTCAGGATCATTTGGCCTCCGCAAACCCTCTCTGGAGGATTATTAGGCCATTACTTGTTTTGGAAGATGGGCAATCCCGACAGCTCATTAACTGGGAATACAGGGCTTTAAGGGAAAGATTTGGGTGCAATTCTGGAGGGGGAAGGAGAGGAACCGGGGTGTGTGGTGGGAGAGGGGTCCCAGGAAATGCTTTGATTCCTTGGCCTCTTGCTTATAATCTCCCTAATGCTGTATGGGGTGGGGGGTGGGGGCTTCCATGCTTTGGCTGGGTTCAGCCCAGCCCAGCCCACGTGGACACTGAGAAATTTGTGCCTGATTTCACAATGCAGAACCCACTACCCCCATACAACAAGACTGCCAGTGTCTCCCCAGCCCTGGGTTGGCGTTCAAGACACATTTCCAGGATGCTGCAGTTTGCCTTATTGTTGGGGCTAGAGGGGCCAGATTTTCCGTTGCGTGTTGCATAGGCTGCCCCAGCTGTGCCTGAATCAGCTGACTTTTCTGGGTCAAGTCTACAACAGGCTCGCCCGAACACCCCAAACCAGGCTCCTTTGCCCCTGGAGAGGTTTTGTGAGAGGGATTTTGTCGTGGACAAGGCCACATTGTTGTTACTAAGTCGTGTGATGAAGGATAGCAAGATGGCACGGTAAGATATGCTCCAGCCAGTCAGGGTCAGCTCACTGACCAATGACCTACAAAGGCAGCTGTTTCCGCATGGCTTTTGGAAGCGGGAACTCACTGGACCTGGGGAGGGACTTGGGAACTCTTTCAGATCATCACTGTGCAGAATCCTTGAAATGCTGCAGCTACGTTCAGTAGAAATTAAAAATGTGAAATAGGGTAAAGCGATAGGCTCTCAGAGGGGGTATACCTTTTCAAGTTTCACACCCTTCCAGCTACCATTTTTAAAGAGCGGAAGGGTCAGATTTCAGCAGAATACCCTGAATTTGTTGCAGATAATGAACTAGATTATTTTTTTCTTGGGCCACCTTGAATGATAGGAAGTTTACCTGGATCTTCAAGACCCAGATACCAGATTCAAAAACCTCACTGTTGGAAGCACCAGCCTCGTAGTATAAAGGGACCCCACATGGGTTACTGTTGATTATTTCACAAATGTAATGAACTTTGACTGAATACCTGCTGGGTACCAGGCAGCTTTCTGGTGGCTGGGTTGACATCCTGTCTTCCCAGAACCAGTCAGCCAGCTAGCATTTTCTCTGGGCCACCCTGGGCAGAGCTGGTCCAGGCGAGCTGGGGGATGTGAGATTTCCAGCACATTCCCAGACTACAGGTGTGTGGATTCCAGTGGCAGATGGCAGTGCCCTCACCTAAAGTGCCAATTCATACATTTTAATGAGATTTCCCCTGAACTAAAATTCACAGGCGTGCAGAAGTATATTTAAAACTGCATTTCCTGGAGCAAAGCCCTGCCTGTGACTCTCAGGGTGTCACATCAACATAGCTTTGGAGTATCGGGTCAGGTTCCAGGTAAGATATCTGAACTGCACCTTGCTTTTCCCCACTAGCAGAGAGGACAACAAGCCTGGATTTCAGGATTCCCTAAGTGGGCAGTTTTATGATGGGCATTTGGCAGAGCCCGGTCACAGCACTATAGAGATCGTGTGTACTGACAAGCCTATTTTTCTTCTCTGAAATAGTTTATGCATGACATAAAAGTTCTGGTAAGCAGTTTTAATCTGGCCCCCAGCCCTTCCGACTGATTTTAAATGGTCTGGAAAGATCCCCTCGATCTCCCCGCACCCTGTCAAGTTGGATAACCAGAGAGCCAGAACGTTGGTGAAAATGGATTTTGTGCAACAGAATGGAACCTTAGTGTTTCTTGCAAAGCAGCGAGGACGCTACGTTGGAACCTCAGGCCACCTCTGCCTGTTGGGAGCTTGGTAGCTGGCAGAGCCAGAGCAAGGCGTGAGAAAGGGGGTTTGGAGAAGAGTTTCCCATTAGGCCCGTAGGTAGTTTGTGCTGGTGTAACCGAATGTGGGGCCATGAGGTTTCTGGGTGACGGGAACAGCCCTTAGCACCGAGTCACTGCTTTGAGAATTGCTCTAG